TAAGAGAACACAGTGTACAAAGTAATAATTGTGTTAATATAGGGTTTAGGTTACAATCTCTTTACAATTTGATCCTCTGATTCGATCTCCGAAATGTAAGGTGTGCAGTGTTGTTGATCCAAGGGTTGCGATGACTTGATCTTAGATAAACGGATGCTGCAAGATTTTGGAACTTGGCAATGGAGGAACCGGCACGTGTAGGGGTGCTTGGTGGTTCTTCATGGGTTTGACAAAGAACGCGAAGGGTTTTCTTGAGTGTTTGAGTGTTTAGGGGATTTGAGTGTTTGAGAGCTTCAGAGTTTCAAAGCTTTAGCATCTGGACATAAATGATTTTCTGGACTCTTTTTTAATCTTGGAGCTTCGTATTTAGAGACTCTCCAAGCCTTGCCTATGAATGAATTTGGCTTTGATTGTGGGCTTGATTAATTGACGAAAGAACCAGGACTTGATTATGGGCCGGTTAGTGATTTGTCTCCATCAATTAATATTTGATTTAATTACATTAAAATCAAATAATTCATTTCCGCCAAGTGTTGACATGTGTCCTCGATAACTCATCCACCCTCCCATGCCATGTAAGCCCCTGCATGCCAAAATTTAATATGTTGCTGAACATCTATTTTCACCGAAATTTGCATGTCCATAGTGGTATTCCTCTTCGTTTGTAAGCGAATGAGGTCTTAGGTTCGATTCTCACCAAATATGAATTTGAACTACATTATTGCTAGCTCATTGTGAGGCTAAACCTACTCCTCCCTCTTAGTGTAGATAATATCATTCAAAACTCAGAGATAAGGATTTAACTCCTCAATTAGACCAACTTGTAGTTTCATAGCAGTCCTCAGCGTCATTAATCATCTGCACCAGTGCTTTGGAATCCATTTCAAGCATCACACTAGAGAATCCCAGATCTCTAGCAAATTGTAGTCCCATCACTGCTGCCATGGATTCAGTACCACGCACACTAAATCGATGGGCAATATGTAGGGTTCATGCTTTGAAATTAGTTTTTTCTTCTTTCTCGTCCTTTCATTTTGAAATATTATCTAATGGTGATTATGAAGGTGAAAGAATGTTTGCAGTGCATCCACTGCATTTGGATCATGATTACAAACTGATGGGAGCAGTAGAAAAACCAAAAATTTGGATCATGATCATCTCGTCTGTTGTAATTCTCCAAAAAACAGAAATAGAAAAACCAAAAATCTTGTTAACTGGAAAGTTCTTGACCAGCATTCATTCAGGGAAAAAAATTGAATCACTCAAGCGAGCAAAGAAACTAAGTTTCCTAATTTGCTAGTTAATTCCTGCCAATATGTGTGTTGTAAATTGAATTTTCTTCCCATTGTGAGTTAACCATCATGTGCATACCTCATTACTGCCAGTTGCGAAGGTATGCTGTGGACTGATTCGAACTCATAAACACCGCATTCTTACCAATCGATTCCACCTCTATCCATCTTGATCTACCATCTATAGCACATTCCAGCTTATAAATATGGACGCAATTGTTTCGCTGAAATAATTCTTGTAAAGCCGCACAATTAGGAATACATCGTCCCCGTATATTAAAAGGAAGTGATTGCATACTCTGAAAGATCTACTGTCTTACAATCTGCAGCATCAACTTCCTGTCTTTCAACATTATCCTGAACAAAACAATTCCAACAAATCGAATAAATTTAAAACTAAATTGCTTGAGGTAATCCACCATCAGGATCCCAAGAAAGCTGATGATATGAAACTCAAACCTTTCATCTCGCTAATTACTGTAGGTCAAAATCACTCACTTCTCCAAGACTTCCACAAAGTTTAGTTCAGTTAATTTTTAAGTAGAAAACTTGATGAGTTATTTGGTTCCCGAATACTAAAAAAAATGAAAACTGAAAAGTAGACGATTCAAATAATTGAACTCTAGTACTGCAGAAAACACCGATGAATGTACCTCACCCCAGGCAGAGTTAATTCCTCCCTAGCCTAGCATGCAATGCTGAAGCATATTCAGGTCAATCCAAAAAACAGGTGGTGCAGGGCCCTTTGGAAGATCACAAACTTTTTCAACCTGTTTGTTTTTCAAATTAAACACACCTAAATGATATGTGTGAAGTAAACTGAATTTTCATCCCACTCTAAGCCATCGTGTGCAGAGCTCATTACTATGGACTGTTTCAAACCCAAAAACAAAGCACTCTTGCCAATCGAATCCACCTCTATCCATCTCGATTTACCATCTATCAAATATTCCAGCTTATAAATATGGAACGCAATTGTTTCACTGAAAAAATCCTTGTAGAACCGCACAACTCGGAATACATCTTCTCCTGTTTTGATTATGTAATCCCTGTAATTATTAGGAATTTTTGCTCTTTGATCAGGCCAGATTATCATCTTTCTATTGAGAAAGGACTTGGAGAAATCCCAGACTTCGACATAATAGCTTTGGTGTAAAGCATAAACCTGATTGTCACAGCTGGTAACGTCAATTTACGTTCTGTGCTTGGCAAGTTTTCTCCACCTACGATCTGTTGTGGTACAAAACGCAAGATAATTACTATTCCTATATAGGTTCAACCACCTATCTGTGAAGTCGTACATCACCAAAACTCCAATATTTTTTCTAGCTGCTACTGCAAGATGGTCTCGAACACAGAACAACTTTGCTGATCTGTCTCGCCAAATCTTTCGCTGAGCCAACATTGTAACTTTCCGTGCCCTGAATTTGATTATTAGCATGAGTAGATGTCTTGAATTTGATTGTACAAAGCTCTCTCTCGGCACTTTGCGTCTTGTATTGAATGCTAATTATATCTGGAAACGTTTTGAAACGTGGGAGGGGGAGTTGAATCCCAGAGATGGGATTTAAGAGCAGCGGCTATATATAGCTGTTTCTTGTTCCACAAGAAAAACAGCCATCCTTGAGAGGATCCAAGACAGATACTATTACCATGGCGTAACTCATCGGGTGTGTTCTTCAAGCTGTAAACCTTGCCTTCAAGACTTGAAAAACGAAACCCATCATCGTCGGTATATTGAGGAAGAAGGATCCATGGTGGTTCCGGTAAGCAAGGGAACGACGATGACAATGACAAATGCGATACAAATTTGACGGCCTTATTCCATGAAGGACAAACTGCTTTGAATCGCAATACGTTTGCAAAGACTACTTTGATGAGATCAATGCACAAGGGTCGATTGGAAGTTCAGACCATCTTGATGTACTACGTTTTATTTGGTTTGATTGGACGTTTTCTGGGTCCTCCATTGGCATATGATCTTGAAGAGAGGTTGGAAAAGGTAACCCGAGCTAGAAAGGAAAATAAAAGGAACTAAGAATAATCTTAACTAACCCTAACAAAGTGGTGAGCGTACTACCAATCTAAGAAAGCGCCGACTTAGTCATATTTAATTTTTCCAAAGAGTTGCTTAGTCATGTTAACAAATTTAATTTAATTATATGTATCGGAGAAGAAATTTGGACCAAACTGCTAACTTCTTGATAATTTTTATATAAAATTATTCTTATCTCCATGTCCCCAAAAAATTTTTTTTTTTTTTTTGTTTTTTTTTGTTTGCAATTGATAGCAAGAAAACAGGATCTAATTGTCAAGCTCATTTTGAAGTTCTTTAAAAATGATTAAAAGTGTTTTTGATAAAAAATATAAAATAAAATAAAATAAAAAATTGGAACCAATGCTCAGTAAAAATACAAGTCAATCTTGGAAAAAAACTTTAAGTACTTCTTGTAAGAAGCACCGATCCAATAAGGGTTTAGGATTTTAAGTGTTTTTGGAATCCAAAAATATTATCTCTAAAAGTGATTTCAACCATTTTCCCTAAAAGCGTTTTCCTGTAATTGGATGAGTGTCAAACCTTCCAACAGCCACGCAAGTGTGGCAAATGATTAAAAAAAAGTAGCTTGTAGTTTCAGTTTTTGAAAACTAAAAATAGTTAACAAACAAGTTAAATGAAAACGAAATGTTAGTTAATTTTGTTTAAAATTCTAAAGAACTTAAAATTGAATTTGATTGTACAAAACACATTATTGGCGTTCTGTGTGTTTTACTTACAGGGTATGTAAATGCTAATAGTATTTGGAAAAACTTCAACATGTGGGCGAGGGAGTTGAATTCCAAAGAAAGGATTTAAGAGCAACGGATGCAATTTTTCTTTTCTTCAATGCTCCGGACGACTTGGTAGTACGGAAAGTGAACCGTCATTATTGAATTGAGAAAATAGTATTTTTTTTTCTTAATACCAATATAATGGATAAAAAGCTAGAAGACAACCCCCAGCTGCTAAAGCTGTTTTTTTGTCCTCAAGAAAAGCAGTCACTAGAAGATCCAAGGGAGATAATATTACCATGGTGTAACTGCTCATCTTCAAGTTTCAAATCTTGCATTCAAGATTACAAAAATGAAACGCATCATCATCGGTATCCTTAGATAGAAGGATCCATGATCGACCGGCTCTTGTATGCAAGTGAATGATGATGACTGATATACATAATTACATATATATATATATATATATATTATCCCATGCATGAAAGACAAAGTTTCTTTGGAGCGCAATAAATGTTGGAGAGGCAAGTTTGTCAAGATTAATGCAGAAGGGTCAATTTGGAGTTCAGATCAGCTTGATTTGCTTCCTAATATATATTTCGCTGGACTGGATTTCGGTTTTGTCCTCTGTTGATTTTAACTTGGGGATCACAAGAAATTAACCCTAAGCCTAGATAGAAAGAACAATAAAAGCAACTTGTTAATGAAGGAAGAGGAGTTTGAGGTATCAGCGTTGAGCAACTAATTAGGAAGAAGTTTAGATGAATTGATAGGGAACTAGTAGTAGTTTACTTGGACAAGAATTTTGAACGATTTGGGTATCAGCGTCGAGCACTGAATACTGAAATTAACTGCCTGGTGGTGTTATAGGATTACTAACAGAAGATATATTATGGAGTTAACAAAGGTAGTTAAAGAAAACAATTTGTTTGCATTGCATGGCATATTGCATTACTTGTTAAGCTTTTATTACATTGATTGCTGTAATGTGGAAGAAAAATGGAAAACAAACTAAAGAATATATCTGTAGAGTTTATTCCAACTAATGACATGAGCTTCCTTTCAAAGACTTCTCTGTCTGACACTGACAGACAAATTAAATTGAGTCTCCCTAACGATAAGGAATTAAGAGCAAGAAATGCTCCCAATTAACAAAACCCTATATCCATCGAAGTACGTATGTAGATGCTAATTAGTTGATACCACACATCTTCACAAATCGTTATAGGAAGATGTGGCTGCTACTGGTATATATCTTCTTCATTTCTTTTCATTCATTCCAAGTGTGTTCTTCACGCTGTCCATAGCACCGTGTGCCATGTTCATCACTTGCTCTCCAGTCTGTGGCAATTGAGAATAGCTCTATCAGAAAGTTTACAAGATTTATTGATGACCGTCCCACTTGTTTGTATTATAGTCAGCATGTGTTTGAAAATTATTCGAAAATGTTTGAGGGATCAAAATTTTAGACCACATTAGCTGATTTCTAGGCAATTTACGTGTTTATAGACAGCTGAATATACAAATTGATGTAATAAGTGGATTTGACCCTCACATAATTTGTGATCATCTAAACTTAATTAGTTTAGTCCCTTAAGCATCACTCAAATTCTCATGCATGTCAAAAGAGTGAAGGAGTTAACAATTAATCAAGAAATATTTATAACCTGCTGAAGAAATCCAGCACTTTGGTCATTTCCATGCTGAGCAGACTCCTTGGCTGACTGAGCTGCATCAGCTGTTGCGTTCCTAGCTTCATGTGCTGTTTCCTGTGTGGACCGCATCCACTCTTCTGCCTTAGCCTGCACCAACAACATAAAACATATGGCATTGTATCACATATACAGCACGAGTACGATGGTCATCTAATAAATTACGTTCTGCAGCTTAAAGGTGTTCTTGCACCCACGCACTTGTCTTATTTCCCCACTCACTTTATATCCATTTGTCATGAACATTTTCAATAGTCAACGGGTGAGAGAATATGACAGGTGGGTGGAAAAAACAGCACCCTGCTTGAATTGAAAACATCAATCTCATACCTGGCCCTGGCCTTGGGATTGGCCTGCATTGAATGGTTGCTGCATGCTGGACATTTTCTCTCAAAAATTTATTAATGAGAATACTTGTGGTTTTCTTAATGATGTAAACGTTTTCTTGATTGATGTAAAACTGGGATTGGAAAACGTCTATATATACACTAAGTTATGGTTCCAATTAGCAGTGGGACATGGATTTGGGAGCGAGTCTATCTGCAGCGTGTATTTCTGCTGTTGAAATGGGGCATTTAGTGAAAATTAGTAGGGCAAGTTCCTATTTTTGGCATGGTCCTTCGAATGGAAAGGACTATGCACCACTAATCACTCGCTTGGGGACGAGAAAAACTTGAGTAGGAACTTTTATATAGCATGATATGATATGATGAGTGAAATATATTGTCTATAATTAAAACAAAACATGTGTTACAATCTTACAAAATTTGAATCAGACATAATTTCTTTAATACGTAGTTATCTTATGTTTATTGAACAGTGTTTACCACTCGCTCTGCCACGTGACATAGAAACTTATAACTCAAATTAAAAGAACTTTTAGAGAAAATGTTTTTAGATCCAAAAGTACTTGAAGTGCTTCCTATAATAGAAGCACCAGATGTGCTTCTTGTAGGAAGCGCTTCGAGTGTTTTTCTAAGATTCACTTACTAAGGATTGGATTCAAAAACATTTTCACTAAAAGCAGTTTCAACCATTTTAAAAGCATTTCCAAATCTCTCTTTTAGGCGTAGAGAGAATATGTGAGAGGTGTATCTTCATTTGTCATTGATTCCTTTGAGAGTTAGAGAGACGTCGCTTGATAAATACCCAGGTTAGAGTATTTATAGAGATGTTGAGAGTCCTTTTATGGAAAGTAATCTTCATTAAATCCAAAAACTATCTAGGAGATATCCAATTTTCTTAGGATTAGGACTACTTGCATAATCCCCAAGATATCATAATTTGACTTGAATTAGGATTTCCTTACTTGGGATACAAGTACTTTAATAGGCGTTAAGCCTAGCCTGGCAAAAGTTTGGCAGGGTCCATGGCTTCAGGCATTCCAATCCTTCTTGCCAAGTGTCATGTGCTCAGAAAATCATGGTCCCATAGTGGTGATGGTTGCAACTCCCAAATGAGCGGACGGGAAGAGAGTCGAGAGACGATGATGAGTGGATGTCGTGTGGTGGTTGGCTACTATGATGTCGACACAGTCGAATTCGAATCGACTCAATTACTCTTTGTCTCAAGAAGTCGAGTAGAGGTGGGAGGGAGAATGAGAAATGGAGAAAGAAAGATAATTAGATCATGCCATTAATTGTATGTTAGGAATGGGTTAGTCCACCTCGTAAATACCCTCGCCCCGACCTGCATATCAGTCCCTGTTTACCCACCCTTAGTTCTCTCCCTCAATACAAAGAGATTTCTCCCAGATTACACGGGATCCATCCTAAACTAGGAAATCCTAAATTATAGGAAACTATACAAGTCAACACTCCCCCTCAAGTTGGTGCATATATGTTACACATGTCTAACTTGTCTAGAAACTTAGAGAACTTTTCACTAGAAACTGCTTTGGTGATGATGTCAGGTATTTGATCTTTTGTTCTAATTAGAGGCACTTCAATTATTTTACCTTCTAACTTTTCTTTAATAAAGAACCTCTCAACCTCTACATGTTTAGTTCTATCATGTTGCACTGGATTATGAGCAATATCACAAGCAACCTTATTATCACAAAACAACTTCATCGATTGACTATGTTTGACACACAAATCTTGTAGTAGTAGTTTAAGCCATAAAATCTCATAAATACCAACGGCCATACTTCTGTATTCTGCTTCTACACTCGACCTTGCTACTACCCCTTGCTTCTTACTTCTCCAAGTAACCAAATTTCCACCAACAAAGGTGAAGTAACCTAATGTTAAGCGCATATCATCACTCGAACCAACCCAATCAGCATCTGCATAACCTTCAATACTAAAATGACCATTCTTCTTAAATAAAATCCTTTCCCCAGACTTCCTTTCAAATAACTCAATATTCTCATAACTGCATTCATGTGTTGTTCTCCTGGATCATGCATGTATTGATTAACAATACTCAAGGCATAAGCAAGGTCTGGTCTCGTATGTGCCAAATACATTAATCTTCCCACTAACCGTTGACACCTCCCTTTATCTACTAGTACTTAGTTCACATCGAACTGTTGTAATGGTCAATTAAGATTTACAGGCAAGGACAACAAAACACGGACTGTATTGATCTTGGCCACAAGGGCAAATGTATCTGTATAGTCAATTCCATATTTTTTAATGTATCCTTTTGCTACTAGTCTTACCTTGAAGCGATCCACCATCCCATCAGCTTTGTACTTCACCATATAGACCCATTTACATCCTATAAGTTTCTTGCCAGCTGACAAGTTTGTGATCTTCCAGGTAGCATTCTTCTTCAAAGACTTCAACTCTTCATTCATTGCTGATTGCCAACATGGATCAGCTAAAGCCTCATGCACACTGTTAGGAATAGATATAGTAAATAATTAACGCACAAATGACTTATTTGATTCTGACAGGTGACCAGTAGACACATAATTACTTAACGAGTATAATACATTAGACTCAGGGTTGGGCTTACTCACCGGATACCTAGTTTTGCATTTAGGGTTAGCCTCATAAGTAAGTTTAGGAATACCTCAGTTGACGTGATCAAGGAGATGACATGGTGGTGGTGCATTCGGGATCGAAGATGATTAATTATGGTTATTGGGACTCAAGATCGACTGTGAGGTAGCTAGCAGCACATGACTGTTCGATGGCGAGGAAATTGGCAGTGAGTTATCTAGCTATGTCAACTCGTCCATTTCAAGGTTTTCAACATTGTTTCCATGTGAATGATCATCAATTGTCTCCAAGACATTACCACTCAGTTCCAATTCATTCACATCATTATTTTCGTGTGAATGATCACCACTTATTTCCAAGGCATCACCACTTAAATCCAAATCATTCACACTATCTATATCTAGAATAGTATAATCAAGAGTTTGAACTTCTGTCTGATTCTCCCCCTAAAGTGAAGAATCAGGATTAGCAAAGTACATATCATTCTTATGAAACACAACTGTAGACATCAAAATTTCGGTGAAATGAATGTTGACCAATAATTAAAAATTTCAACGCTCACGTGTCACATAAATTTTACATGTAGCGTGTGACTCAACGAAAAATCGAAATAAATTGGAAAAGTCATCAAATAGGACACGTGTCAATATCTGGCAGAAATGATTTATTTCATTTGATTATTTAAATCCAAAAATCAAGTTTTGGAATTCTATAAATAGGAAGCCAAGGCATTCATTTTAAAGGAAAGGAAAAAAAGAGAAATTTACATTACACCAAAACCTTGAAGCCTTGAAACTCTAAAGCTCTCAAGCAAATCCCGAAGGATCAAGAAAGCACTTTTCGTTCTTCGTCAAATCCTCCTTCAAGATCAAGCCCCAACGGCCCTTGAAGAATTCCCACCAACTCAAGATCAAGCCCCGACAGCCCCTTGAAGAAAGTGTTCATCATTCATCATCCGTTCATCCTAAGATCAAGCCCCAACGGCCTTTTGGATCAACAAACTCATACACCCATTCTTCAAGATCAAGCCCAACGCCCCTTGAAGATCCATTCATCAACTGTTCATCCTTAGATTAAGCCCTGACGACCCTTTGGATCAACAATTCATCCACAAACCTACACCCTACGAAGATAGAATCAGATGACCAAATTACAAAGAGATTGTAACCCTAAAAATCATTAATACAAAAAATATATTTTGTACACTTATTCTTGTTTCTTGTTTCAGGAATTTTTCGTGTTTACAAATTTGGCACGCCCAGTGGGACATCTCTACCTCTCATCTCTATCCTCAAATCATCGAAAAACGCAAATGGCATCAAGAAAGGATCAAGCTGTTCCTACAATCAAAGAGAAGAACAAGAACATTATCGCCGCAACTGGTGATATTTCGGGCATCACAACCCGAAGTAAGGCAAGAGCTCTTTTTGCCATGGCTTCCACCCCTGCATTAACTCTGTCAAAGGAACAAGAGCACCTGAGGCACGAGCCTGTGATCACCCTAGCCTCGCTAAGGGCATCAAAAGGGGAGAGCCCGAGGAAATACTCAGAGTCCCTACTCTCCGACGCTGATTCGAGCGGCAGTACAACCATGCAAGTCATGACCACTTGAGCAACTTCAATCGAGGAGCAGCTAGCTCAGATGAATGAAGCAATTGTAAAGCTCACACGGACTGTGGAAGAGAAGGACTTGTAGATTTCCGCACTCGTCAACCAACTAGATACGCGGCCTGACGTGAAAGTCGACCCAAATGTTGGCCTAGTAAAGAAAGAAGTCAACGAAGAAGAGGAGCCTCCAGCAGAGAAAGTCGAAGAGAAGCTAAAGCTAGACCAAGCAACAGCGTTCATGGGATCTCTCTCTATCCAGCAACTACAAGAGATGATTGCAAGCACTATCAAGACACAGTACGAAGGAAGCTTGCATGACTCCGTACTGTACTCAAAGCCTTACTCCAAGAAGATTGATGCTTTGAAGATGCCAAGGGGTTATCAGCCCCCAAAATTCATGCAGTTCGATGGAAAAGGCAACCCGAAGCAACATGTCGCCCATTTCATTGAAACTTGCAACAATGCTGGGACAGAAGGAGACTACCTCGTCAAACAGTTCGTGCGTTCGCTGAAAAGTAACGCTTTTGACTGGTACACTGACCTCGAACCTGAGTCTATCAACAGTTGGGACCAGCTAGAAAGGGAATTCCTCAACCGTTTCTACAGCACTCGTCGTACTGTAAGCATGCTAGAGCTGACCAGTACGAAACAGTGGAGAGATGAACATGTCGTCGACTACATAAATAGATGGCGCTCCTTAAGTCTGGATTGCAAAGATCGGCTTTCTGAAACCTCTGCCATTGAGATGTGCGTTCAAGGCATGCACTGGTGGTTACATTACATCCTCCAAGGCATAAAACCAAGAACATTCGAAGAGCTAGCAACTCGTTCCCATGACATAGAGCTGAGTATCACTAATCACCGGGAAAAGGAGCCGATTACTAACTTCAATAAGGATAAAGTATTCGCCCCAAAT